GCAAATCGACACACATAAAATATTAGTCGGAAAAAGGAACTCCGGGGGCATCTGTTCCCCGTGGTGCCAGGCTTAAGCCTCGGGTATGACTTTCGAAAGCCGTAAACTTCTACCAGTTGAGCCTCCACCGACTCAGGTCTGGTAGCCTTTGACTGGGGCCCCCCTGGAGCCATATTTTTCTGGAGTAAAAATTCGATTTATCACACTGGTAGCGCTGTTCTACTGAAGTGAACATCCTCTGCATCCATTTTGCTTATAGCTGAGCTGATAAGCGTTGATAGAACAAACACAGTACATCATGCAGGTGCGTACGTGAGGAGCTATTTCACTAGTGTTCTTATAACACCCAAAAGCACGCTCTTCAGTTCCTCCAGCGCCGCTATAAACTCGCTGTGTGCTCGAGGCCTAAATCATCATTATAAGATTATACATATATGTTGCAGATGAATTTGGAGCTTTAAACCCTTTGTCTACATTAAAGTATGTGCATTAGGGTGGTCCAAAAATGCATGTGGGGAAAAAGTAAAGTCGGAATTTTTATGCTCTCACCCCCTAGGGTCGTTCTATACCGAAAAAAATATACCCATAAAATGTTCCATGTATTATACATGGAAAAAAATCACTTTTCGTAGAAATTGTATAGAGTTCTTGAAAATCAATATTTTTCGATCTAGAAAGCTCTGTTCCTCTTCAGGAGATTTGCAGTAATATTACCCAATTATTTATTTAACTATTTTTTCATAGTAACTATATTTTATAGGTCCGCTAAAACCCCCAGAAATAAAGAATGGGTATATTTTTTTCGACACAGAAAAATCCTAGGGAGTGAGAGCATTAAAATTCCGACTTTACGTGTTTTGGACCACCCTAATGAGCATAAGTTATATTCCTCACCCAAAATCGATTACTTTGAACCACACTCCTACACTTTATAAAGTTTTTGTTCACTCAACTTTATTCAGAGCACGAAAATATTGCGTAAATCTGTTAACGATGGCACTAAACATAATCACTATGCCACAGACGAGTATATGCGGTGCAAAGTAGGATACGGCAGCCGGAAATGACGGATGTATATTATATCGAGCCAGTATGCCAAAAAAACATAATTGAAAGTAAAAAATTGTCAAAGCAAAAAACATCAGCGCAAACAAATTCGTACGCATTGCCAAATGCTTTTGTATATATGACACGCCCACATTATAGAAACGTTCTTCGATTTTATGCATATTCTGGATTAGAGTGCAGAACTTCTTGCGATACACAAAACAAATGCCAATCACTATCAGATTACTAAATGTTCCATTGAATTTTTGCATGCTATCCGTCAATCTCGAAACATCTGAGATGAAAAAGTTGCCTACAATTGTTTGACTATGCACCAGACTATAGACGAAGTTGACGTGTATAAATGCGAAGCGCAACGCCATATTTAAGTATCCCCAGGCCGAGGCTCGTAAAAAATGTTGACGCGTTTTCGGCGATACACAAATGTGGTACGGCGTTAAACCGAAAATATGTGCGGCAATAAAAATGAATCGCAAGCTGGCGTAAATGTTTCGTGGATGTTTTATGTCGCGCTTGAAATTGCGTAATGCCATTGGCAAACGGAAGGACATTTTTTAAAAATTTTCGTTAATGATTACAAATACGCACGCGGACGATCCGCACTTGACTAAAAGCTGTACAAGCACGGCATACGAAAATATGGCTAGAAAAAATTATGGCAAATGTAAGTGCTACTGTAGTAGATACATATATGTTATTTTACAATATTGAGTTAAAAATACTTTGCTAGAGCAGCGATTAAATCTTGTTCACAATTGATGATTTGACATTATCAATAAACGCGTTTCATATTTTCATCGCACAGAAGCAATACTAATTAGCTAATTGATAAATTACTTAATTCGTTTTAATATAGGTACACTGAGAAAAGAGTTTAGTTACGTCAACTAAGGCTGCGTGCGAGTACGTCTAAATTGCTAACTAAATAGAGAAAAATCCTAAATCACTGGAAAGTGTCGGTAATGCAGTGAATAGGAACAACTTAGATTTTTTTCGAGCATACTTTTCTACCTAAATTGAATTGAATGTGAAATGTAAATAAATAATATAAAAAAAAACTTTTTAATATACAACGCTTTTATAAATGGACTAAAAAGTAGAAAATAATATTTCTCAGTCCCATAGAATTTGTTTTGATAACTTTTGATTTTGAAATTTTAGCAAAAGTCATTATAAACAATCTATGAAATTGAAAATGAAATCGATTTTAAGCGGTCGTTATTCATATACCCACATACATACATACATATATTACTTTTCATATCAATTCAAGTGTATTACATGCGCCCCACGCTTTTCATTTTCAATTTCATAGATTGTTTATAATGACTTTTGCTAAAATTTCAAAATCAAAAGTTATCAAAACAAATTCTATGGGACTGAGAAATATTATTTTCTACTTTTTAGTCCATTTACAAAAGCGTTGTATATTTAAAAGTTTTTTTTATATTATTTATTTTCTACTTTTTAGTCCTGTCTGAATAAAATTTTGCAATAGATATTAAAATAATTCAACGATATTAACCTTCGGAGGACACACCTTTTTTATTTGACGTGAACGACACACTGGGGTAAATTGCACCCCAATTGAAATGTTGCTTTTAAAACACACAGCTTAAGCTTTTTTTTGCATATATTACGCTGGAAATATTTAGATAAAATAAATTTAAAATGAAATGTCTTATTGAATTTTTCAAAGGTACAAGATCATATAATTGCATGGTTAGCTTTTATTGACATAACGAAAAAGTTTATCAAAAATAGGCTTTGCACTGGGGTGTCTTACACCCCAGTGTGTCTTCTGAAGGTTAATAGAAAGGTGCACACACATGCATTTACATATGTATGTACATACAAACGAGCACCAATTAATTTTATTTAAAGAAATGGCGTGTCGTCTATTTCCGCTGTAGCAAACGTAGTACATAGGGCGACATCTAGATGTCATCTACCTCGCCCTATTCACTACAGATGTCGCCCTATGCACTATGCTTTTTTATAGGAACTTTTCAAAGCGAAGGTTTTATGGTGTCGGACACACAACATTGAAAGTTTCAGGATCCACAACATTGAAAGTTTCTGGACACACAACATTGCAAGTTGATAAAAGCGTTGTAATAAAAAGCGCGCGAAAGCGAAGAAAAAGTGGACGTGGCTAGCCCCTTATTTTTAATTTTGATGGTATACATTTTGTTTTGCTGAAAATTAAAAGGGGCGGACCAAGGGGTGGTAAAAGTGGAATTTTCAATATTTTCAAAAGCTTATTTTTCGAAAATTATTGAACCGACTTCCAAAACGTGGATATATATAAATAATTAATACATATTTCGAGAAAAACGAAATTATGTCATTTAGAAATCAAATACATCATTGTGCAATCGCATTGAAGGCATATAGGTCTAATAAAGCTGTCGTCATCCCAAAAACAGTTAAACACGTGAACGACCTTCCCAAAGAGTTTGGACAAGCTGGTGAATATGCGGCTCAACATAACAGAAAGAATACCTACCAGTACGGAAAATCCATCAAGACTGCTCTGGCCAAATAGAAATATGCCCTAGCGATCAATCTCGATGGATATTCATCGGACATCCGACAGTCCTTCTTCAAAAAGCTGCAATAACTTCCGTACCGCTGCTTAAGAGCCCGTGCGCGTCGTACCTGGACATCCGCAATTCTGATTCAACTCCGTCTGTCTGGAGAGAATGAGCTTTTAAGGCAACAAATCGATGTGATATGATATGAATCCTTGCATATGTACCTACATAACTCTATGTGCTGGGTCGAGGGGGAATGACGCACTCGTCCATATGGTTCGGTGGAGAAACCCGAGCCAGCTGAGGGGTGGAACTCAGTCATGCACAAGCGAGCAACCACCAGTCGTATTTTATTACAGAAATACCATGACTGCTGATATAGTCTTAATAACCGTCGGCACTCTGAAATGGTCCTGCATGTTGGGAATATGTGATTTGTGAACTTTTGTCGGTCCAGTTTCAGAGTATCTGGGAACTGTAGAAGGATCATCTTTGATCGATGAATGGTGGGATAATCTGAACTGCCTGCTTGACAATGCGCTCCAAATCGCTAGAAACTTTAAACTGAATTGACTACAAATGTTATGGGAAGGTTGTTTAAGGTTTTCAAAATCACGCTTGTTAAGGACAACCATTGTTTATTTCCGCTTTTGTCTCTAATACCAAATGCGTTAAGCAGACAAAGGCAACCCACTCTATATTTTTTTATCAGTGATATCGCACCTTAAGCGAGTATATATAACACTGGCAGTGGCCCCTAAGTATTTTTTAAAATTTTCTTATATTTTGTTGATGTGTTTATTTTGTACGTAGAACAACCTAGTGATGTTGATATTTTAGGGACCACCATAATACATACATATGTACAAAATAATCTCACCTTATTAATCAAATTGAAATGTTGTTGAAGTCGCAAGAGAAATGTTGAAAAAAGCACCACCACACTCAATAAGAATACATGGGGCATAAAAAAAGTAATCATCGCTTGAAATGTCGGCCAAATGTCATTATGAAAGAGCATCCAAAAGCAACTGGACATATAGGATACGTTCAGTGTAATCACCAGGAACATTTTCATATGTGTCAATTTCATGATATACTGATAATTAAATGTCACACCAATATTGAGAAAACGCTTATCCACATATGCGACCGTATTACACAGCGACACAATCACTCGACATTCACTCAAACTAATGCCGAATAGCGTCAACATGCCTAGTAGGCCGATAAATTTTTGCAGCGTATCACCAACTTGTGAAATTTCCGATTTGAAAAAGAAGCCCACAATGGATGCTTGTTCCGCGAGCGAATGTATAAAACAGTACATGAAGAAGATCACTTGCAAGAGCGTATTGAGATAACCCAAGCGGCTGATGCGCAACGTACGTTGGCCACACATTGTGCCGTGTATGCGAAAAGGTGTCAAGCCGAGTAAAAAGTTGAACCATAGTAAAGTTTGTGATGCGCTATAGGCATCAGTCGGACTGAAGAGCTCTTTCCAGAAATGCATTATTGACGCGAACAGGACTATTGTATTCGAACTAAGTAGCTGCCTTGGGTTGGCCGTAGTATTTATACTAGCAAAGAATATGATTAGGGCGCGGCGGTACGACGCGTGAGTACTTTAAAATTTATAGATTTGTTGATTGACACCTTGTAAGAAATTAATTTTGACACTGGTAATTTGTTGGAAAATTGATTGCCTGGAAATACTAAATATTAGCTGCTGTCTTATTAAATTTGCCGGTGAGTCGAGAGGAGTGAAAGTTGTTGTCTGTCGTGGTGCAAGTGGGTTGCCCAACAATGGGAAGGGTCTTTGAAAGTATATTTAACAGTCCAAATTCAATAAGTACCCGCAGATTGTGAAAGTACTTTGGCAATTAGAGCGAAACTTTCCAGTATCGTCAGTCATGTGAGTGTCCTCTGTGAGGGAATGCCAGGAGATGGCACATTCCTCTAATGAGGTTACCTTAACAAAGAGAAAATAATCAACAATCAAGGCGTAAACCTACTAAACACTTTTTTGTTTTGTCAGAATTAAGTACACAAAACAACGCGTGCAGAAGACAGCACTCACGATTTCCTTTTTCTCTGTTTTAAATCTACTTGATTTACGAATAAATGGAAGCAGAGTGTTGGGTGTCAAAGAGCTCAGCTGCTCGCCTCTAAACACATCGCTTCCAAAACGCTCATACCTAACCCTTGCAAGGCGGGTAAGACACACAAAAAGTGTTCCGCCGTCCCATCCTCTTTGAGGCAGGAAGGGCAAATGGGGTCGTTATGTATGCCGATCACAGTTAGGTGTATGTGCCACGAGAATTGCGCAGTCAACAGTCTCACAAATTGGCTGCAGTCCAAACTGTTTAATGAAATCGAATGCCTAGCACAGCCCCTCGACACTGAGGGCAACATAAGTTTAGCCCACCTGTATCCTCTCGAAGCCTCCAAGTTGTTCACACAGGTTCTAACTGTGGCTTCGATGGTCGAAGGTGGGATTCCTGGTCTGAGCCCTCTCTGGCCAAAAGGTGAGATGCCTCATTACCATGTACTCCCATGGCCTTGAGGATTGCAAATACCTCGTCTTGGGATACCGAGGCATATTCCTCACGGGAAAAGTGAAGTTCATCCCCATTACCTTCGACATAGACACTAGATCCTCACCCAATGTCAGTTTTGGTGTCATCAGTCAAGATTCGACAGTGTGTGTGCCGCCGGGCTCAGTGCTAGAATTAAGCCAGTATACAGCCTCGGGGAACTCAACCTTGTAGAATCTCCCAAGAAGGGGCAATGGTAGCTACTATCCTGGGGTAATGAAAAGACACTTGTGTATAGATATCTGTCACCAGTAATCTTCGCCTCGCCCCGCCAAGTGTCATACCAACATAAATTTATTTTAAGCCTGCAGATGACTTCTAAGGCCACCCCATGTATAAAAGTGCAGAGTGATGGTAAGTTTAACAGAGCATCATGAGCACCGCCTGGTGTTATAGAGAAAGCTTCCGTACAGCACACGGCGACTATTCTTTGAACTAAATACTTGCTGTTCCAAATAAAATTAATGAGCTACAAGAGTTCCAACTGCGCTATCTCTGCCATATTGACTCGTAAATCGACATAAAATAACCCTGAGACCTCATAATCATCTCGCTTAACACAGGAGTCATTTGTAACGGTTATCGTTAACGTATTTGCCTCGTTTTTTTTGACATCTCAGAGCTATACCTGATCAGTATTTATTTCCAAAGGAACCCCAATTTCATTACCTTGGATACTGCTGCTTTCAAAACCGCTTGGCTTTGGTGGCATTTTCGGCAGGTCTCGTGCTATTTAATTGAAGACTATCTGGCTTCTCGATAGCATAACTTTCAGCTTGAAAGATGCTACAGTTGTCTGGCTAAAATACTGAGAAGTATACCGAGTAGATATCAATACCGGCTCCTTGCTCTATCCTGGAGGCATAAGTGTATATGGGTTATGCGATCATCTGCCAATGGTGGTGCATCCCATTTATATCTATCTCAAAACCGTATGGATAGTCATTCAAGGAGTTAAGTAGTAAGTTTTGGCTTCTAAGTGCAATTTTGAAACAATTAAGCTGATCTTCCTTATTATTCATTCAGTATTACTGGGTGCCCAAAGTGGATTGATTCCCATTTGCTGGCTTGCCTGAACACGTGAGCCTTTGTAATATGAAAAGAGCTTTCCACCATACTTGGGGCCATGAGTTAGCAAACTGTTATATGAGTATAGCAAAATAGAACTCCATCCGGGACTTCGGACCTTAACCATAACTTCGTTGAGACACTAAACAAAAACCTTTGTATTGTTCCACAATATGTAGGGTATTTTGTTAGTAAAAACAAAGGATTGTTAGATTAAATTTGAATTCAAAAACGAACGCTGACGAAGTAGGCGAAACATTTTGGTTTGTAGTGTCTTCGTTTTCCATGTTCAATGGAAAATATTTCTACAAAAATAGCGTAAAAACCTTAGAGAACGATCCTTTACGGCACTCAATAAGAATATGTATGTATGTACATAAATATATCTTAGTCTACAGTGCCATGTAAGGATACCTCTAAGTATTCAAGTTAGTCTTTTGCAAGGCCACTGAGGCTTGTTTCTTCCTAAGAACTCTTCTTCTGGTGAGCTTTTCGTGAGTGTTGATGGAATGCGCACCGAGCTGTTTAAACCTTAGTCCACCGAATGCCGGGCAGCTGCTGAGGAAGTGCTGAGATGATTTCACCTCGTCTTCCAAACAGCTGCGGTAGTAGGGAACGATGACGATATCGCGTTTACAGCGTTTGCCTGAAAGACGCAGCAGAGATTCGGCAGTCGGAACATATGATCGACTGAGAGTTAGTGACAGTAGACACCTCCTCCAACTATCCAGTTTAGCTTCGATCCGTCCGTGAAGATGTTTATTAGACTTCTACTCTAGAGAATGCCGTACTCCCATTTGTCCCTTGGAGAGATGTGTGCGCGGAAGATCTGTTTGGAGACAGCCTAGAAATAATTCGATCCACTTCTAACTAAAAGATGACTAAAGATGATTTGAGTTCGTATGATTGGATAGCATAGAGCGTCGGTGGCTATCACTGGCACACAAACAGATCGCATAAACTTCTGCTTCAAAAATGTTCGCATAGTTTCCCGTAGGGATAGAAAATTTTGTCTTATTTCTTTGGAACTCAAGGAGAAAAGAGTTAAATTAGGTCACCTAATTATATTTCTCTCAACACATGCTTTGTTTATAGTTACCAAATCTACTGTCAAGAGTAGTAACTCTTTTTCTAGTGTACAGTTTTCTTAGGTTCGTGGGACTCCATCCAGAGGACTTGCCTGCTAAGCGCTGGCACACCAGTAAAGCTTTCGTGGCTTAGGAAGTGATAATATTCAAATGTTCCTTCCATAGAACATACATGTAATACATGCCTAATCCTTGTTAAATCTTCATAAAGTAGTCCTAAAGACATGGATTAGACAAGGATTGGAGACGTATGCATATATGTGCCACTGTTCCATAGTAAGGGTTTTTTTTTGGTTTAGGTTGAGTCTTTTTTGCAGAGAATCATACATATATAGTTCCGGTTGGTGTGGGATCCCCGGCCACCTTGACGGTGGCGTAAACTACTACGCTTTAAAAAGTGACAGCCCATAGTTGGTCAGCTCTATAGATTAGTGTGAATAAGGTTGCACATTAAACTTTTTTTAGTTAGCCCCTAAAGAATCGTCACAGCCCGACTAAATTATGGGTCGATTAAAAGTCAGTGGTACACTGCTCTGAAGTCGACTTAAGCACTTCTAAATTTTACCACAAAATGAAAAATTAGTCTCACCAACTCTAACCAACCTCACCTTATTCAACATAACCAATCGCATTTCTACCATCTTTGTAATGCCTTGAAACATTGCTGTGGCAATCGAGATCACAGTGTGCTGCAGTGTAAATACTATATAAAGCGGCGTCGACGGCTCCAGGTTAGCAGATTTCAGTAGTATAAAATTACCAAACGAGTATGCAAAATCCACGACGAAGACCACCAACAAACTCAGGTAGCAATAACGCAACACTTTGCTATACCTGATATGTACACCAACACTGCGTAACAGCACATCAATATCTTGCATCGTACTTAAGCTATATTGGAGGCGATGTTTGGGAAGAATAGCCGTAAAAAAGATTACAGTAATGCCGATAAGGCCACTCAAAATCTGCATAGTGTCACCGAAACGTGAGATGCCCGTGTGAAAGAAGTAACCCGCGACCGTTTCGAAATCATTCAGCAACGTCAGCACATAGCAGGCCACATACACCGTTATGTGTATCAAAGTATTGAGATAACCGAAAATCGACTCCTTCAATTTTTTATTGCCAGCGCCGTCACTTTTGATGAAGAACGGCGTTAGGCCATGCCAAAAAGTTACCGCGAATATTGGCTGCACACTCTCGTATAGTTGGTGTGCTTGAAAGAATCGACGTAAACCGCTGACACGTTGTGGGCGCGTGACGGCGCACGCTTCTTGTGCCTCAATACTATTCGTGTCTTCGTCCATTCGCGTTGACTGCGCTACGCTAACTGGTCGCACGTTGGCGTCTCGTTGTGACTTTTTATCCCGCGCGGTAATGTCGATGTCGATGTCAATGCTGGTGCCATATGGCAGTGTCAGTGTCCTTGGTTCGAGTGCATGAGTGACCATCGATGATATGCTCAGTTTACGCCATTTCTAATGAACACCGATATCCTTTTTTCCGCCTAGTAAAGTATACACTTTACATATGCAAATGAGTGGTGGCCGGAGTTGTGGTTATGTTTAGCAGTTGACACTTAAGTCGATTACTGTCGCTAACCCACCTGTTGGTATGCCACCCACACCAAATCCCCTAATAGGACACCAGGCAGTGTGGTGGCTACTGCATTGCTGCCCGTGCTCATTAAACACTAAGCTTACTAAGGGAGTTTGTAGGAATGGCCAATGTAGAACACCACAAATACATTTACATATGTACATTAGGCCGCATCCGAAAAGAAAACGTTCTTCGTACACCCCTGAGACTAAAGTATTTTTGATGTGTAAACAACTTAGCTCTCCAGCAGAAAATCCGTAATTTCTTCTTGTGTGCGCAAATGAACATTTCTGGACTAGTTCAGGGCCATTCAGGCCCATTCACTAGTTCAAGCCTAGTTCAAGACTAGTTTAGGCCTATTTCGGGACTAGTTCGGTATCACCTCGATACCTATTCAGTACTATTTAAGGCCTATTTCGAGATCATTTCTGGACTTGTTTCGGACCATATTGGGTCTAGCTAGCGACTATTTGAGGCCCATTTCGGGTCTAGTTCTGGACCATTTCAAAATTAGTTCAGGAATATTTCTGTAATATCTTAGGCCTAGCTCGGGATAAGTCTGCGCATAGTCTAGGATCATTTCGGGACTAGTTCGGGATCATATTTGGACTAGTATGGCACCATTTCGGGACTGTTCCAAGTCTTGTTTGAGACCATTTCGGGAGTTATTCTCGAAGTGGGTATGAAAAAGTCGTGTACTGGTCCCTACAAAATTAGTGAAATGAAATAAAATACTATAAATATTTAATTTCTAACCTAACCTATTTATGTAGGCATGGAACTGAATCGCTTAATGTTTTGCCAAGTCGTACACAGATGTCTACACAGCACCAGGTACTTGGTGCTCAAGCCTTTTTGCAAGGCAATTTCGATTTTTTTTCGGCATTTTTACATTTATTGCTATTTGTTATCGACATTTACTGTCGGATTTTAAAGTATGATATATCGATGATCTTCTCTAAAGGAGCGATTTTTGTCCAACCAGATCTCAGTTCTTATCACCCTAACGTTCCACCCCAATGTCAGTAAATTAAAGCTCTCCAAAAATCAAAATGTAAAAATTTTTTTCTTCGAAATTGCAAAAATACTTTATGAATTAGGTGTGTACGGCGAACTTTTTTTGTTTGCTTGTAAGGTGGTACGGTCTAATGTATATTCTTATATACATACATACTTAGGCATATATGTATACTCGTAGTTAAGGAATAGTACACAATCGTATTCTATTGACTTGTTGCTCTTTTAATTGCTCGTCGTGGACATATTTACGCACCATTCAGCTACTAGTCAATTTGCATATGAGAAAATGGGTTTTTAAATTAAACTAAGTATATTGTTAACACATTCCAATTAAAGGTTTTGCTGTATGTATATTAGGGTAGCTCTTCATCTTTAATGCATGCTCATATCCATATTATAGTTTGCCACAATAAAGGGATGTGGCCAACCTTTTCAACTTAGTGGAGACAAATCGCGCTTAAACGATTTTTTTTTTTTAATTGTGATAAGTTCGAGTGTACTGCTCTTCAGTTGGATTCCGGACCGGCCAGGACTAGTTTTGGGAACCTTTCGGAATTTTATCGTGATCTTCTCGGCCTGTTTTCGTGATTGACAATTGAAATATAAGAGCCGCCCTAATGTGGGCACATATACAGTGATGCGTATAAACATTCCATTATTTGCACTGAGCAAACATCAAACTAAAAAAAAAATTATTGTCGCCTACACTTTGTTAATTGATGGAGCTTTCCGCCTCTCTACTTTCTTTTTGCTTCTATCGCATCCTGTTGGCACCAACCCTAAATGCAGAGTACTTTCAAGTTCATAGAATAGGTTAACGGCATCAAATTGTTTTGTCATCGCCCGTCTAGCTGATTGGTGAATATTTAATAAACTAGTTGTTCAGACATGCTTCTGTTATTAATATCATAAACGCTGGTATTTACAGCGCTCTTACACGATATGTATTTGCATATGTAAATTCTATTTTTTTTTGTATCTAGAACGTATCATTTACATTTACAGCGCTATTAGTAGTTGCAGGCATACTATTTACCTATCGATATCCTTACGTGTTCATTTTCTCTAAATACTTACATATGTACATATGTAGTTATGTGCATATGCAAATATTAAGGCAACAGTATTTTATCTTAATTAAAAGTAAATTAGTGCACTGATCCACTTAGGTATCTTATCTGCACAAATATCTTAAATATTTTTGGTTGCTATGAGTTTGAAAAATATTAATATCTCTTAAGTACAATTAACCCTTTGAACTGTGTATAGCTTCAGGCCTACTAAAGTGGCAGCAGTCACTTTGGGCTGAGTATGAACCCGTTAGGGTCTATGCATTTCAAGTAATGTCTTTTTCGCGGTAACCGTGGATCTCCTGGGTATATTTGTATGGCAACTGGTAATCGGTTGGACATTTTCGAAAATTTCTAAAATACATTTTCTTTTTTT